ATATATCATCGCATCGATTTATTTCTCCCCGAAAAGCCCATCAAACTCCGGAGTAAATTTTTTTTCCAAGCCTGAGCACATGTGACCCCCATAAACCCGCCATCACCACTTACGATGACTCTCGCATTGACAATAACAGAAGAAGAAACAAAAATAAGAAAACAACAGGGAAATGAAAAAAAGAGGACGGGCAACGCCCGTAAAACTCGCGGGTCCATCAAGATTGTTTCGAATTTAATATTCAGGAGTCTGGGAAAAAGAAGCGGCCGGTTTTCTTTATCACACGGAGTGCACAAAAGTTTTACGAACTCGGGGTGCCGTAAAACGTTTACGGTTGTACAGAGGGCAAATAGAGGGGTTGGTACAGGATATATATTACAGCCGAATGAGGGAAGACAAGTTTGCGTTATCCTCTGGTTGTTTGCAACCCTTTCTGGGGAGAAACAGAGAGGTTTGTGGCAAAGGAAATGAATTTTATTAAAAGAACCGAGGTACACGGTTAATCATTCCACCCCTATTTACCCCTTCCTCTCTCAACCCCTCACCTCATTCCACCCGCCAATTTATTTCCCACCCCATTTTTTTTTTTAATCTCTCTCTGTTCTTTTTTTTCTCTCTGACGTTCTCACAAAGACCGGTGGACAAAAAATTCAGCGGGGGAGGCAAAAAATATATCTATTTAAACTTGTCCACACAAGTTAGCTCTCTCTACATCTGCTGTAAAATCGTTTACGACTCTCGTCTCCTGGCTGTTGAAACATGGATGTTCACGGGGTCAAAGGTTTCGCCATCTGGATTTTGCGCAATTCAATGAAGCCAAACTAGTACTTTTCACTGAATCTCCTGACTATTTCAATTCGGTTAAATTCTCCGATCGAATTGACAATGAAATTTTATTTCAAAACGATCACAATGAATTCTGTAGATTTATTTCGATTTTAAAATATAGCAATCGTTAATCGCGAATCCCTAGTCGACCTTGGACTAGTCAACAAGACGAGATGATGCAAAGTTGTCGAAACGTGGAGGAATGCCAAACCGGTATAGTAATCGGTAATGGACCTTTGTGCATTAGGAATGCTCGATTGCACCGAGAGCACTCAATTGGCTCGAGTTTGTTCGACGGAGATTGGAAACTTGGTAAAGCAATCGGTCACACAACTCCAAGTGCCTTATCGATTGTCAGTAGTTTTCAAGAGCTTTCGAGAAGAAATTCAAGATGACACTTGAAGGAATTGATCGTCTGAATACACTCCATCGACGAAAGATCATTAATTGTATGAAATCCCAATTTACTGCCCCCAAAAATAATTCTAATTACTCTCAAAATATCCGAGCACTTCCAATTTATCCGGAATTTATTAAAACGGTCAGGATTAAATGCCGGATGACAATGAACCCCATGAGGATGATGAAGCAATGACCCTCGCTCTTCCTAAACCGATAAAGATTCTCACTGGATAACCAAAAGCCTCAACTCCAATTGCAACGACTGTCATTGACACCTTCATGAAAGCCCGAAGGCTCGTTACTCAACTTTACGACAGCCCGAACATAAGATGTCGTAACGATTAAATGTCATGACCTTGATAATAGCCCCTGATATTGGTGTTACGATTGGTGATTCTTGTTGACGCGTCAATTTCACATCTGCTGGTGTACCTGATAATAATCCACCGCAATTAAGTCGACAATCAGTGGTACTTCAACTTCACCACTTTCCTCCTCTTCATTACCGCTTATAACGACCAGCCTATCATAAACCTAATCACTCATTCAAATCTCTGAGTAGGAATATCACCGCGATATGCACCTTTTCACCAATTTTCATGTGTATCTCATGAGCTCGCGCCATATGACGCGGTAACTGGAGCTTGAAAGGAACAAATTAAAAAAGAGCCCGAAGAAAAATGATCTGACGACCTGAAGAGGATACCCCAGACACAAAAAGGGGATTCTCTGCCAACTCTGTTTCGAAACTTAGCTTTATAACCCAATTATACTTATGCAGCACTAGCTAAAACCTTTTTGACGCTATTTTATCCTTTTTTGTTTTGTCAACTTTTTTTTTTACCCGCGACACAGACAATTCTTTGTGTCTATTTTTGCATTCACCTCCTTTTCACTTCTTTCTCCATTTGGATAATTGCGTTATTCCATAACCCGCGGTACGTACAACAGAAAAATATTTTAATCGCCGTCCGCTATTCTCGACGCTAATTATTCAACTTCTAAAACACACGGAAAATTAGGGCTTGCAATTTCGGTAATTTCGGGGGCTTCCTCGGCCAGTTTATGCCAACAAATTTCGTGGGTTAGTTTGTGGCTATTTGTGTTTGGAATTTCAAACGCTGGCTAATCACGTGTCATTTGTCCGTGGGGAATTGAAACTTTCCGCGTAATTTTTTTCGATTTTTTTTTTGAAAATTAAATCAATTCCAATCAATTTCTTCTTTTAACAATTTATAGTCACAAATTGAGATCAAAATTCGTGGAATCACCGGAAAATAAAAAAATACAATTATCAATAGAAATAAAATAGCTGTACCCTAGATTTAACCCAGTCCTGGGATAGTTTAAAAAAAGAGCTGTTAAAAAATTGTTGGGACAAATTAGGTTGAGACCCCCTACAGCCAATTTCCGTGGAAGAAAATACCCTGAAATTTTATCCTCCACCCTTTAGCTTCCACCGACTCTCTTAACCCAACTTAAAATATTCTCGCCGGTACCACCAGGGTCTCTTAAAATGCCCCAATTAAGTCCACCTGTACTCCCCGTTAAAACTAAAAACTGGAGAGAATAATGATAATTTAGTGAGGATGTGCAAATACGTGGGGATAAACCCTAGTCTATTTAGCTGGGTTTGTTTACGTCATGGATTCGTTTGTGCCAGTTTTATTGGTTCACTCTAGTCAGCAAGACGTTATAAATTCAACGTACAAGTTGTGCTCCGGCAATTGCACGTCAAGTTGAATAAATCGACGGTCAAAAGAGTTGAAGAAGAACTCAAGAAGGATGGGGTAAACCGTCTTGGATGAGACAGGAAAATTAAAGTGCCTCTTTGATCAAGAAACAGTCATTGAATGGAATTAAAAGACAAACAGCTATACCCGGAGAATTTAAATTCATTCTATCTTAGACCTTTCTACTCCTTTCTTATTTCAATAGGTTATTATAATCATCTTATCTTCTTATTTATAAAATAGAAAATTGGGTTAAAGATATTTTTTAATTACGAGAAAATTCGGGTGAATTATATTTCCCGCAAAACGATCATCTCAATTAACAATCAATCGCAAATATTTTTATCGCCATGTCACTTCAACTGAGTGTCAGTTAGCCGTGGATATCTCATGAATGAGGAGAGACACAGAAATTTTCATGAATACATTTTTTGTGGGCCTAGACCTGGAGCAAAAAACAGGTCTTTATAAAAATTTCAGTATCTCTTCTCGTTTAGAAGATATCCATCGATAATTGGGGCCACGCCAAATTCACTTCTCCTGATTCACCGATTCACCACAGAAACCGAATATCAACGCTAAAGATAAGTTTAATTCAAAATCTCATCAAGAAAATTGCACATTAAATTCGATTGAATTCACACTAGCTCGAAAAATTGGGGCAGAGCCTGATTTTTCGCTATTTTCATTTTCGTTTTCTTGTGTACGCGGGAACAATAATTTCCTAGAAAAATCAACGCAATGATTTTTCACTAAAAAAAAAGGAGCGAAAATAACTTGCCTGTCGATTCATGATTGCAAAAGTTAATTTATCCAGTCCTTCCATTTTTAATCCAAATGTAAATATCCTATTTGCACCCTCGTACCAGTAAATTCCATAAATACTCCCCCCACATCCTCCCCCGAAAAAAAATTCCCCAAAACATTCACGATAAAGTGGATATCCTCAGACGAGGTCAATCTTGTAAAAAATTTCCCTATAAATCTCGATACATGGGGATTAAAACTTGAGGATAAATTCTGAAACTGCTCCAGTTATATTTACCGAAGCTCAGCCGTATCTCTTGGAAGAGTATTTTTTCAGCCCCATCCAGAAAAAGGGGGTAAACTTTTATATGTTTAATGTGGAAGTATTAATCCCCTGGATAGGATACAGCTTTTTGGCACAAGATCGAAAGCAAGTACTGGGAAGGCTTGGCTCATAAATTATTTATCCACTGAACCGGTACTCCAGAGCTTATGGACGAGTTGGAGAGGGGAATGTACCTGGGGCGATTGTCCAACTGAATTTCAGGATGGAAATTGCAAAATGGAGTCAATGTGACCCAGAACGAGCATTTATACACCTCGGGTGTTTAGGCAATGACAGCATTAGGAAGCAACAGTTTGAGAAAAGCAAAAGAACCGGAAACGGATAAACACTCTGGGAAACTGTTTATTTTTTCTCAGTTCATTCTTTCTTTTTTGCACATTTATCTCGACTCTTTTTGCAACAGCTTCCGGTTGTTTTGTTTTGGCAGACGGTTCTTAAACCTACGGGAATGCTGAGGGAATGGGAATTGTAATCCTTTAAGTCCCAGTGCTACAGACCTTGACAGTAAAGCTGTTGGACTCGTCCTTCACGCGGTTTTTTGTTCGTTTTTTATGCCGCGAATTTACATTCACATACTAGTTACGACGGAACGGAGATGGGGCTTGCGCGGCTAGTCCACGAAATATCCGTTATTTATATCAAAAAAAATATTTCAATTTTCACGAAAATTGTTAACAATCTTCGCCGACCATTCCCGTATTCATTAGTTAATTTACCAAGCAGTCATTAAGCTTCGCGGATTTTTTTTCTTATTGAAATTAAAAAAACGATTTTTCGGTTTTCGTTTTTGTCGCATGCCTGCCCGAGGAAATTTGAGCTACTCCACTTAATGGCGGATAGTGGAGTATTCCGTGGATGTGCAGACGAAATTTATCATGGGATTTTTATTTTCTCGATCATGGGGGTAGATTATTTGAATTGACTTGTGAATGGAGTTCACTCACCGGTGGACGACATTGGCGAGAAGATCGTTGTGACGCAATCTGTAGTCGACGTCGACCTTTTGGTAATTGACCGTGAGAGTACCAGCCCGGATGCATCTCTCGTACTCCTCGGCCGGATGGGCACGAAATTCACGGGCAAACACCTCGAGGATCTTCTCACCCACCCAGCGACCCTTCGTGAAGGTCGTGAAGGTGAAGTAGTAGGGGTAGACTTTCCGGAGGCCTGGAATAAAAAATGGGAGGATTGAATAAAATGATTTTAATCTATTGGAAAATAAATTTGCGTAGACGATGAAAGATTCAGAGTAGAAAAAAATAAACGGTTAAAAGTTCTTTATTTTTTTCGGGGACTTCATAGAAGATGGATATCTTTCATTGTGAAAATTCTCGGGAAAACTCGTGAATTCTCAGTAGGGCAAACATTTCAGTGGATACCTCCTCGATTGTCATGCTCCCCTGATACTTTTTCAAAAATTTCGAATTTTTCAATTTCAGTGAATACCTCCCCGATTGTTATGCTCCCCTGATACATTTCCGAAAATTTTAAATTTTCGAATTTCAGTGCATACCTTCTCGATTGTCATGCTCCCCTGATACTTTTTCAAAAATTTCGAATTTTTCAATTTCAGTGAATACCTCCCCGATTGTCATGCTCCCCTGATACATTTCCGAAAATTTTGAATTTTCGAATTTCAGTGCATACCTCCTCGATTGTCATGCTCCCCTGATACTTTTTCAAAAATTTCGAATTTTTCAATTTCAGTGAATACCTCCCCGATTGTCATGCTCCCCTGATACTTTTCCAAAAATTTTGAATTTTCGAATTTCAGTGAATACCTACGCTAGTCTCAAAGAAAAAAAGAGAAACCTTAAAAATCCCGTAACAGAACCGCCTGATTTTTCAAAAGCGTCAAGTCCCCCGCAGAAATCTCGCGAATGACCTCCGAATGGTAAAACCCCCTGAAAACCTCAAAGCCTCCTCATCCTCGTAGAAGCTTAAAAATCGGAATATGCAACTGAATAGATTCACCTCAAGTAGAAAACGTGCCAAGTGATGTAGAGCCAACGATCCGAGAATACCTGGGGGTGCCTAACTCGAGGAGTTTTCAGCCTCCAAGAGGAGAGACTCAACGGTCCCCTCCGTGGTCTCCACGAGACAATTGCACGAGGGTGAAACGAGCCCAAGCATTCATCCCCTCATCCCTTCCACCTGATGTTGCCAACGAGACAAGAGAAGAGGAAACGAGCGGACGATTCTAGATTTTGTGAAAACCTTCACCAAAACTTCATCCCCTTGAGCACCCCTCTTTTCTCGGAATCCCTCAGGGGGTGGCAGAGGGTGCCGTTACAATTCCTCATCCCCCGGATTTGTTGCATCCCGTGAATTCTCAACAAAATAAAAACCTAGAAGTACATTTTAAGTGGAAACTTCGTGCCTTGTAATGTACGCACCAACAATTACCCGCGTTAATTGCTAATGAAACTTTCGGGTGGTCGAGCGGGGGGAGAGGGCAAAGGGGATATTTGAGTTAAGGATTTCCAGGAGTGAGGGTGAGGGAGTGTAGTTAGACAGTTCATCATGGGAGAAGAGAAATTTCGGGGTAAAACAAAAATTTGAGAATCAAGAGTAAATTGTTTATTCAGAAAATACACTGTTTCATTTAATTCTATGCGTTATTTGAAATTGTTTATTGATTGAGTACAAATTGTATACAGCAAATAATTTTCATGAGGAAAATTCAAGCGACTGCCCTTTTTGTGAATAAATTAATAATTATTATGAAGATATCGTTACCATCGCAGCCTGAATTAATCCCCACAACTTCTCGATGAATAAAAAATTGAAATATCCACAAAAGCCCAAAGATCCTGTTTGAATTTTCCAGTCGTCCCGCCATCAATTTATCCCCCGGGCAACGGCTTCTAATCACTTTACAAACTCGTCTCGTTCAAGTGCATCAAAATCCCTCAATTTTTAATGGCAATCGATTGTTTAATAGCGCAGGAGATAAAAACAACGGGATAGACGGAAAAATGTGAATTTCCGGTTGTTGATTATTTTTCGTCTACCGAACAAAAATCGGGACAAATTGGGGTGGGATTTGGCCGACGGCTAATTTCCGGAGCAGTCGCTCTCTCATCGGTTTCTACGTACGTTGATGTCATGAGCACAATGAGGACGAGAAAAAAAAAATTGCCGGGAAAATGGCGAAAATGTGGGTGGAAAGGAGAGGGGGGAGTAAATACTATGGTAATTTGTAAGCCCCTGCACTCACAACCCGTTGAGTCTGTCGTAATTATCCTCAACTGCAGAGAATCTCCTACCACCCACCTCCCACCTCCCCGCGTAGAAATTTAAAATGAGGGATTAATGTTGGTACACAAGAGCCTCAGGAAGTTCTCGGAATCCACTTGATTATTTCACCAACGTCAGGTTTATTATCCAATTTTTTTTTTTTTGTTTTTCAATTTTGTTCTTCTCTCGGCGCGCAAATGCACTTTCACCGAATCATTCCTCTTCAACCGATCACTAACAGACGATTGAAAATTTACCCAGTCCGATGGGATTTTTCCCTGCCTCCCGCTTTTCCAAGCTCACCCCTGGGAAATGAGAATTGATTTCGCAGTGTTATCGCGGATTATTCTCGGGGTATTTATTTCCATTTCTCATGGAATTATACGCGTCACTCGAAGCACTCTGGGAGATTGTGAGAAAAAAATTTTCCGGAAAATTAAGGACAATCCAGTAGTGGAGTGTAAGTCCCTCCAGACCTCCCGGGGATTCCCAGAAATTGTCAGAAAGTCCAGTAATCGCAACATTAAGTTCGATTATTAAATGAAAACAAGGGGAATATAAAAAAAATTGAGGAAAATTTCTTCGACGTTTTTCCAGGAATTCCCAAAATTTAAAAATCCCCAAAACGTGACGGTGTACACAATTTTTTTATTAATGTCTTCTCGAAAAATAAATGTCTCACAGGTGCAACGAAGGGCCTATAAAAAATCCATTCCCCTCCGGTGTGAGTCCTCGATGCCTATTTTATTGAGAGTCCTCAGTGTCACTCCCCTTTTTATTCATTGGATAAAAGAGTAAGGGAGGACTGGGAGGTGGGGAAAAAAGAACATGGGGATCGTAACGAGCCGACGAAATGAAGGACATTTACAGCGATCGTAGCCCAGAACTGAGGACTTTACGAGTCGTAAAGCAAGGACACAGCCCTGCCACAGGGTTATCCGGTGTGTTTCAGTGGTGTATCGATCGATGTGGGGGGGAATTGTAGGGATGGGTATCAACAGGGGTGGGTGGACTGTGGGTGGTAACACCGGGATGAAACTCTGAAACAGCAGAATGAGGTACACGCACCCTCCGGGATCTTCTACAACTGTGATCAAACTACAAATCCTATTCCGCACGTTTAGTTTGCCTCCCGTGAATTTACCTCATTGTAACCACTTTAGGAGGCTTTAAACTTGACGGCTATTTCCCAACTACTCGACAATCCGCCATTGTAATGTTAATACGCGGATGTTCCTTTTTCGATACTATAAAAAATTCAAATTTTCCCGGGAAAAATTCCACAATCCACTCCACAATAACAATAATAACAACAATTTGAAGATATAATTTGTGACATTCAATTATCTAAAATAATTATCACAATTTTTAAATTATCTTCACACGAAAAAATGTTTTAATTGATTTGTCTGGTAAATTGTGTAATGAATTGTAATGCATTATTTTTTCAAAACGAAAAATCATTTTAAAAAATGGAATCCGTCGACAGATCAGTGAGAAATAGATCGCCCCATAAATGGAAACCCCTAAATTACACCCCCGAATTATTCCAAGCCCAGCATTAACCCTCATGACTTTATCACTGCCATTGTATTTTTTTTTAAACGGTACCCCCTTCCCTCATTTGCACACACGCCTAGAGGCTAGGGTAATCTAATTTACCCGACTCTTTATTTCTTGAATCATCGTTTTTTTATTCATGTATGGCATCGATTTCCCATGGAATAACAACGACTGCTCAGTAGCCGTTGGAGAATAAATAGAAGAATTGCCGCGGATATGAGTCAGTGGAGAAAAAAATGAATGAATAAAATCGAGATGCAACTGAGGATCAAGTTTGTCCTCGTGGACTGGCCCTCCAACCCTCCCACAATCTCACGATGCAACTCTATATCTAGATTCACACTCTCCATCGAATCTCACTCTATCCCCGAGTATGAAATTCATACGCGAGAGAATTCTGAATATTTGACATGGGATTTGACAAGTTCACCGTTACCCCACACTGTGCACATGCATTCTCGTATTTGTCGGTGGGTGGGAGAGGGTGGGAGGGAAGAGGGTGGCTGGCCGTCAGGGATACAGATCGTCTGTCATGTTTACAGTGACTCTTCACTCGATATTGTCCGTTTCGACGGCGAAAAAAAAAACGACTTTTCGGCGAGTGATACACGGGGCGCGTTGATTTGATTTACCGGATTACCCGCGTTTTCAGGGGAAAATTCTCCGGGAATATTGACTCGATCGAATTTCAGTTATTGACGTTCGCCTCCACCACTTCAGTCTCAGAAAATTAGTTGGCGCTTCAAGTAGAAAAATTTGAAAATTTTCAGAACAAGATTTATCAATTTTTTCTTTCAAGAATTTTATTTTTTTTTTAATATTCCTTCAATAAACTATTGGTACTGAATTTAATAATTTATTAAAATTGTGTAATTTTTTGGGGTATTCCAAGGTCGGGCGCTAAAATTGGTTCAAGTCATGGAAATCCATCCATTGAACGCCAGTCTTTAACCGTAATATGAACCAACATTGACAAGCCAATGAAATCATTAGTAGACTATCTCTAGACCAATAATAGGCCAGCAGTAATAGTGCCGACAATTGGCGCTTCAATGTTTAACCGATACCAGGCTTGGACCAAGACTTGACCAATATTAAAATCCTACTTGGGATGATGAAGAGATGATTTAGAATCGAGAAGTCAGATGTAATTTATATTTCGATATACTCAAAAGCGCATTTATCTTCCTATTTCTTCCAATTTAAATCCTCCCGCAGAATATACAACATCAAAGGATATCCCTTTCGCCATCGGAGCGCACTTTATTCATCGCTGTAATCCCCGAAAAATAATTCCCGGATAATCGAAAACAATTTTTGTACCCGCCGATATTTTAATCTCAAACCGTCGAGGCGCCCCAGAAAAAAAACCCGTTTTTCATGGAATATTTTTGTACTGTCGCGAAAAAAAAAAAAGTACTTCGTCGCTTGCCAGATGCTCTCCGCACTCTGTCGAATATGCAATGGATGTCATTGCAAGTAAAATTATTTTTTTGGAAATACATGCAGTCGTCAGATGGAGAAAATAAATTCTCATCAAATTTTTTTCAATCCCCTGAATTCCCCACTATCAACTACCACTGAATTTTCGATGAATTGAGATAAGAAATAACAATTAAAAATTGATCTGTTCATTTTGGAATTTTTGATATTGAAATTTCATTAGTCAAATTATTTCCGAGAGGCGGGAAAATTTTGGAAATTCAGAGAAATTCAAATATTTCGGATAAACGCGCGTGTCGACCTCGTGTATAATAACAATTATATATAATATTAAATAATTCCAAAAATTTTAATCATCGCGGAGTGTGAAATAGAAATTCGGTGTAATCGCCCCGGGGCCATCTCCTTTTTTTATTTTCATGTACTAGTGTTTGTGGTATGTCTGGAAAATAAAGCTGCCCCGGGGCAACACGAGCTGGCGATTTTAACCGGAAGTCAAGGTAGACTACATTTTTCTTGTTCGATTCTCCAATGAGAAAATAAAAAGAGAGACGAACAGGTGAAAGAGGAAATAGATAAATATTACATTCACTTCCATTTATGCAAGATTCAGCGGAAAATGAAAATTTATTGAATTTATCCCCAAAAAGCTACCATTTTAATTTGATTAATTCATTAACTTGTATTTTTAATAATTATAATTTCAATCATTGTAGATTTTTTCATATTTAATGATTACGCTTTTCTCATTACTCCTTTCAAACTTCTGTATAAAAATTAATATAAAAAGTATGTGTAACGGATTTTAAAATATATTTTTCATACGTTCTTCAGTGAAAGTGGGTAGAGGTTGAAGGAGATGGATAATTAAATCATTGCATAAATGGAGATGAAAATGGTGGAGAGTAAGTTGAAATGGCAGAGAGTGGAAAGAAGCGGGTGAATGAAAAAAATACAACTACTTTGTCTCACGTATACGACTCGTCCTGATATCTTATTCTTTCTAACTCCAGGAGTTTGCGAATAAAAATGAATTGGAGGTACTATTTCTTTTTCTCCAGATGTTTCAGGAATAACGTCCCATGATTACTCTCGAAAAAGACAGAGTTAAATAAAATACGATGGTAATAGGATGAGAGGTAGCTCCCAAAATTGAGAGCAAAGGGCTAACAAGTTATAGTTTATGTCGTAAAAACTTTTGCAAAAGCTGCTTTTAGTTTTATTTTTTTTAATTCACCGAATAACCAACTGTCGTACCTACATTTTTACCCTTCCCACAAGCTGTACGCCATTCGGAGTGGCAAAAAGAAAATATTACCAAGGAAAACACTTTTCTGGAGTTGGAGTTTGATTTATCGACTACTGTCAGGGTGAAACGAGCAATTCAGTCTGGAAAATTCAATTTCGATCTTGAGAAAATAAAACTGAAAATTGCGATATCGCAAAATGAATCGACTATGAGCAACTTATTCAAGAGTCATTTCTCTAGAATAATTATACGGCAATTATTACCACACAAATATCCACTGATATTTTATCGATTTTGAGATATGAAAGAAAAATGGAGGAATTATTAATTTACAGAATGGATTTCGAAGGGCAATTTTGCAAGAGTGAAATTTTATTGGTAGACGTAATTTTTTAATGAGTGCTCACGGATTGAGTGATGGATCTCAAGGGGTTGAGAAAATTGAGGGATGAATGAGGGGATGAATGGAGGAGGGCAGAAGATATTCTCCTTCAGAACCCTGTGATTTCGAGTGAAATTGCCTTGTGGCAGTGTCCGAATTACCGTTTGGCCCTGGGATTTGCTCGGGGGTTCGATAACACAGGGTTAAAGGAGGGGCAAAGCCCAGATATACACCCCCTAAGGTGCGGTTAGGGGATGAATAGTGGGGTGGGCTGTAGTTGTGAGGATACAGGTCTTCATGACTCGGGTGGAAAAGCTCAGATAGCATCGGATCTAGATTTGAATCACGTACCACTGAACTGCTCCAAAAAACATCGACAGGGGTAGAAATTCAAGGGGGTGGAGTTAACGGGGGATGAGGGGTAAATTGCAGCGTATAAAAGAGAAAAGAAATCTTCAGTCCATTATTCTTCATTCTCTCTTATTTCTTACGCTTTTGTTTTGTCGTTGAATTGAAATGGATTTATTGGGAGGGGCGGTACCAATAATAAATATCCACTTGGTACAATTCGCGGGGGAGGGCTGTTCTTTTTTTTTTTTTCCCTCAAATATTCAGGACCCCCGGGGGTGTGCTGATCAATTGAGCTACGGTCGGGGCTCATTTATACGGTAGACCGTTGATTCTTCGGGAGGAAATTATTCCGCTTCGTTGATAATCAATGGAGGTCGGAAAATTTCAAGGAAACGTGGAAAATTTCTGGCCCAAGTTTTCTCATTATTTATTTACACCCGAATTTCTTATCGGCGAACTCACGGGGGCAGTGATCATGGAAAATTATTTCCTGAATTTTTCACGTCTCGAATGAGTCGAATTTTTATTATTTAATTTTTAAAATTTTCAATTTTTAAATACAAAAATCTCGACTTTTCGATTTCTAGTTTCAAATGGCATTGTTTGCACAAATAAATAAAATAAATCATAACCATAAACAAATGGAAGGACTTCGAAGTATTAAAATTTCAACGTAAAAATGGCAAAATTATTTCACTCTCGTTGAAATAAATATTCTTCTCATTGCACCGATTGAAAGATGCATTGAACGTGGAAAGATATGACTTTCAACGGTTCAACAAAAGGATACCTGCACAGAATATATCTGCAAACAGTGCAAACGATGCCACCTGACTAGTTGTTCCCTGGAGTGGTATTAATAGGTCTTTGTTTCGCTGAAATTCTCGGTGTTGGCCCGACGTAGAACCAGCGGTACACCACGTCGTTCACCCATACGTGAACGAGGGGGTTTTAAAATAGGGGTGGAAAGGGGGGAGGAGAGGTGGGTTGCATCTATTATTCAAAATGTGGAGCAGATATTGGATGCCGATACTTCGCCAGTTTCTAAATGTTCGATCCAACGCATGCGACTGAAATCCCACCCCCCCGTACCCCACATTCCGCGCTACATTTCCACCCTTACTTTATATTATAGGGGGTAACAATACCACGGGGGCTGTGGAATGGGGATAAATATGACGGACAGACATTATCATTTGCTATTATCTTTACATTTCATGCGTTTCAGTTCGCGGGTTGGATTATCAAGCCCTGTGACAACTCGCGAAGGAATTTATGTCTCTCTTGATATAAACTATTTATTTGTTTAATAGAATTTAACGAATTGTTCGCCGTTATTGGAAGGAATTGGATTTTTATTTAGAGCTATTCGGATTAATCCATTTGATTAATTATTTTGTCAAGAATAATTTGTCGATTTGTAAAACTCATAAATTTGAGATTGCTGAGAGATAATGATTATTATTCTGATTACGAGCTATTTGCCAGGCGTTATTTCTGGGAAATATGAATTTCCAATGATTTTCTCGTGAATTATTGTTTATTTGGAGAAATTATGCAATTGGGATAAATTGTGATAAATCATTTGTCGAGGTGTCGTATTAAAAATTAAGAGCAAGTGTTAATGACTCCACTGGGACTAGCAACCGATCGTTTGTAGTATCAATATTTAATAATAAAATTCACTGATAAATTACGATTTTATTGATCATTTGGGGTAATGAAGCTCTCTCCGATACGAATAATTTGGCTGACAGAATTGTAATTACATTAAACTGATCAAACGTTCTCTGAAATTAATATCACTCCGTTCCGAACAGATTTCATCATTTATTAATTGGAATTTGTTGTGTCAGCAGCAGTTTATATTATGTATTAACACAGTTGGGTAAATTCTCGATCTAGGGCGACGGTTCTCATTCCCTCCAGCACCCTGGAGAGTGCTTGGATAGTTTTGTTTGCAATGTAAATAGTTATTCGAACGGATTGCAACGGGAGAAGTCTCTCACGCGTGTCAATTCGCTGTTTTGCATTTCGCTGCTTCAATATTTTCAATATTTCTACGGGATTTTCAATATTTCTACAAGATTTTCACGTTCTGCCACATCTCTCTATTCAAATGAATTCCATCATGTCTGGAAAATTTATTATCTCATTTCTCCAATCGAACTTGAATTATTTATCTGATTTTTTAATGACTCAAGTTTCCACCGATAATTTTTAATAAAAAAAAAAACAAAATAATTGCGGGTAATTGTGTGGAAAATGTGGATTTCGGTTAATTGCCGTTAATTATTCAATAAATTTATTGAATAAATTATTCATTGAATTCCTCGCGGTTTCCGCTACGTGCCTGAATTTAAATTTTATAAAGAAAAATGTCGAAGATCGAATTGTAAAAAATCGTTTCGATTCGCCATTTCAACGGAGAAATGGAATTCCCTCAATTCCTCATCCCTCCAACAATCATTCTCTTCGGAAAAATGTTTTTCCCCTGATTGTCATTGCTACCTGAGGTAATCGAGACACGAGCAACTCGATAAACCGTTGTGGAATGGAGGCAAGTGCGAAATACAAACCTCACTCATGGCCACCCCAATCTCCGATGGGTTTAAATGAAAAAGAGACGACACGAGTGAGAAAAATAAATGAAAAAAAAAAAACTAAAATAAATAAACGTGTGTGCGATTGCGGTGACCACGGGTGACGAAGGAAGAGAATAAAAAAAATTGTTGCTAAAGTGAAGTAAAAGTGGACTCACCATTCTCCACGTAATAGCTGGTCTCGTTGTACCGTTCGTCTGTGAATCCGGGTCTCTTCGCTTTCAGCGCTTTCGTTTCCAATTTTGCCTGTAACAAAAGAGAGATATTTGGTCATTGCAGCCGATCGAGCATTTAAAAGAGTGTCCAATGGCTGTCGTGATTGACATTGAATTAACAAAAAAAAAAAGATGATAAAAAAAAGTAGTTGATTGGAATGGAAAATGAAAATTGGGGTAACAAATTGAATTTCTCAACTCTCCTGAGGTGAATAGTTGCCAATTCCTGGGAAAAATATATCATCAAGGGAATTCCATTCAATGCACAAGCTGGTGAAGTTCGAAAATTTAAATGATTCGATTCAATTGATTTGAATAACATGTGAGAGGTAAATCGTTTTCTATTAAAAATATGGATGTAGTACTCATTTTAATTTTTTTTCACTCTCATTTTGTCAATTTCTTTGAATAAAAATTAATCACTCAATAATTCCATAAAAGCCGGGAAATAGCAACTAATTATAAATTTATTTATAATTTATCCACCGAAAAATTCAAATCGTCAACTTCAATTAATCAACGATTTTTAAAAAAGTTTAATTTATTAATGAAGCGTTTAAAAAAATGGTCTCGCCGAAAAATGATCATCATAATTTAACAAATTTTTTAAATCATTACTTTTAATTATAAAGATGGAGCGGATGGTTGAATAATTCATTAATAATGAGTGAAGACGAGACGTGACGATGACGATTTGAATTTGGATCGGTAGCACGTACTCGTTTGTAATGACTGGTATATCGTGCCCCCAAGTCATTACAAGCGATGTAAAATGGGCGGAGAGAGGGTGCATTATGATAATAGACAACCACCCCCTTGGATGCATTGTAAAAGCCCCAGAGGGGGGCGTTTTAATCAATGCAATGACAATTAACGACATCGCTGTTAAAACGATCGATGACAAAGCCGGTCTCTAATCTACCTAAAATTTCCATCAAATTACGACTCAAGGATTTTTATTATCACCGTTGAACCGACACTAGAACGACTGATCAATGGGGGGTGATTAAATAATCTGAGATGGAAGAAAAATCCTGAGTGTTTGTTCAGCTCTTCGGGATTTTTCTCGACAGGAATAAAGCTTTTATCATTCCACCATTTCCCCGGATTCCACGATTTACTAACATCCCAAATTATATTTGATGTTGACATTTGATAGTTCAAAAATTCATTAGGTCTGGAAATATTCAAATATTTTTGTTGGGTAGCATTTACAGCGGGAATTTATGCGAATTCAATTGCGAGTGATAATTGGGTCAGGGATCAATTAAAAGGTAGACATTGCAGTCGGTGGGAGCACAGAGATTCGCGATTACTTTTGCGTCTCTTTTCCCCCGCATAAGTAATTCAGAAGAATAATTCTATTTTATATAAATTTATTTCCGTTCAGAGATTCAATAATTTTTTCAGTTTTATGGAATTATTATTTTTAACTCTCCAATTTCATTGAATTTTATGTTTAATTCAATATTTAATTCCAAAAATCGTCGTAAATCGTGTAACTCACGTCGAACGGAAATAAAAATGTTTAATCTTTTAATTTAAAAATTCGAGCGATAACCTTACCCGACTGTAATCTCAATTCGCAAATTTTCTCGAATCTTTTGACGCGCGTTTAATATTGAGTAGAAATTTTCAGGTGAAAAAAAAAATCGTCTGGTTCCAGTGAATTTCAATGGGCTCCAAAGTTCATTCTGAGTATAACCCCTCGTAAATAAAGCCCCAACCTGTGCCAACCACCAAAACCGAGGAATAGAAAAAGTATTGAATGCCCCCGTATTTATAAATCCAGATCAGACATTTTGCTGCGAATTTTCGCGCGTACTTTTTACATTTTCACGGTGGAACGAAAACTTTTGGCTGTATCGACCGGTGGTGCCTTTTCTTCCCAGGATGCACCATCCCCGAGGAGAACCATTGAAACCCTTTTGCCGTGGTCTCATCCATGAAACCCACGATTCAGTGAAAATACCTCAGACCCGTCACTTTTCGGCTTTCTATCCTCTTTATATAAAAGGCCTTACTTGTCCGCTCGAATTTACCCAATATCCTGAGCCCCTGCCGATCTTCACTCGGGGAAAATGGCCAATATATTGGCGTTTCTACGGATTACTCCCTCCCAGAGGATATATCGAGATAAACGAGTTTATATAAATCCATCAAGTGACCTTTTATCCATCTCACCGGATTATTTACGGTGTAAAAAGCACTCCAGCCATTGGGATATTTTTGTAAATTTTCACAGCGAATAGAATTCTAATATTAAAGGATTTACCGAAAAATTAATTAACAGGTAAATTTATCCCCGTGTTCTATTTATCGTGTACCCCACTGAAAATTCAACAAGTAATACCTTTTTTTTTCCCACTACTTTTTATAATTCGTCAGTAATTTTTACTGAAATTTGCGGTTGTAATTTATTCCGAGGATAATCACCGAAAGAGGAATAGAAAAATTTCACCTCCACATACCGAGAACGGGAATATCATCCCCCAAACGAATCGATAAAATTCCCAGGCATCTCTGGAACAATTCCACTCCAAAAACACCCATCACGTCACTCTCAATAAACCCTCTACCTCCTTCCCCTCATAAAAAGTACTCGCTTCATTTCCGCTTTTCCATCCCACCCACTCGTCCACCCAACGCCTCACAAAACACGAGCTACGACTACAAAACGCTGAATAACTAAAACTGATAACTACGAAATTCCCTGGGATGTACCATCACCTAGAACATTCTATTTACATTTGATATTTGAACTCCAACTGTTAATGAACTATCGAGAACATGACGAGACGAGTTGAAGTGTACACATTACCTCTGCACGTCTGTGCACCAGTGAATTCGAAAATGGCACATAAATGGGTAGAGATGGTGTATTGTGTCGACATTTGTATGAATGATGAAAGACATCAAGGTTGGATAACGTTTGTGGAGGGGTGAGGATGAGAGGGAGAAAGGGGGAGTGAAATGTGGGGTGGACGATGGGTGTTTGGTGGTGGTGCATTTGTGATGGTCGAGCGATTGCTAAATCCAGTCAGTTGTGTTTATGTGTTGCTTCTTGTCACGTGGAATTTCAATGGTTTTACCCTGTGCCGATAGTTTCCGTTCGGTTTTCACAACAAAAAGGGATGAAAGGGGGATTTTAAAGTGGGTGGAAAATCCCACCGGAAACAACCGGGAAAATTGTCACGCTGCCACTGTATCGTTTAACTGTCAACTGGTGGCTATCAAACTTCGCCAATTAATGCTAGCGTTGGGGATTCGTTCGGTAATGGAAAGAAGATTAATTGAAGAGATTAACGGGAAATTACCGTGGGGGTGGGAGGAGGGAAGGAGGAGAGAAGGAGGAGAGAAGGGGGGTTTCTCCATGTGGAATCATTATGGATTTTTTTGGAGTATTGGCTATTTTTTTTTTTCATGTTTTCAGAGTGACTGGAGGTGATGGAGATTTTTTAACAATTATCATTACTGGAAAAATGCGGAAATATTTTTCGATCTTGGAGGGGAATTTTAAAGCGAGAAAAATTCTCAGATGTTGGCACGGAAATTTCGAATACTCTAATGACAGATGTCATTAACGAGTGAATAAAAAATAATGTCGTATTGACATTGACAAATGGAAATGAGAGAGACATCTCGGTGGGTGTGATTTGGAGCGACAAGACATCTGTTTTTCTCCCCGGGAAAAACGAGATGATCGAGGAGGAAAGAGAAAAGATGAGAAAGGTTATATAATGGAAGAATACACGAGCGAAGACAGGCGACTGTGACGAGTGTCGGCCCCGGTCCTGGCCCAGTACTGGCACATCCCCGGGGAAAGAGACATGTATTTGTTTAACATCTTTGTGCAATCCGAGGCAGAGGTCTAACTACGCGGTACACCTAAACCAGAGTCAAATATCGACGGGACGAAAATATACGAGACTGTGCCCGACGGCAGATGGATGGCTGACGACTGACGGAGAACGTTTTTTTTTTTTCCCACCCGTCTTTTTTTCCCCCACCCGTTTTTTTTTTTAACTCAACCCAGACATGTGTCGTACTCTTGTTTTTGCAGCATCCATTTTCCCCGAGTCAAATCCACTTGGTGAATGAAAATAAAAAAAAAATCACCCACGGAAAAATATTCAGTGAAAATGACGGAAAACTCCGGGAAAACTCAACCGTCACTTTTCAACGATAATTCAGGGAAAATTATGCGTAATATCGCGGTAATGAAATTTTTTTAGAAATATTTCTCTCCGTGCGTGTGGAGCGGAATTTTGGGGGAATTTCTGGGGAATTTTGGAGGAATTTCGAATGTTCTGAGAGGGAAAATTCACCGTGAAAATGTCGTGCGTTCGTGAGTGAGAATTTACATATTGTCGGGGAATAAAAATGGACATAGCGGTGGAAAATTCTTGGGTTCTGGGGGAGGGAAAATTCGGTAATTCATGGAAAAATACGGGTCTATGATGAGAGAGGATTTACATTTGGAGGGAATAAAAATGGAAATCATAAGAAAAAGCCGAAAATGTTCGTTAATTCCGCAATCTTTCGATCTCTATGCAATTTTTCCCGTGAGATAAATTGATTTTAACACTCCATTAAACAATGAAAATAATTATTTGCAATTACGCGTGATTGGAAAATGATTAGAGAAATCGATGTCTCCTCGTAATTTTCCGTCGCTCAAATTGAGAAAGAGAATAGAAAATGTTGAGATATCGATTTAACCCGCGATTGTCGCTTGATAAAGATCGATCGGTCGAGATCGATTGATGGGACACATCTAGATATGGCGGATGTGATTGAAATTCACTGGTTCCATTACGATCGCGATGCTCTTCATTCTTGTTTCTGTATGAGAGTACAGGAACACAGAGTGAAGCATGATATATGGAGTGAAGAAATGCTAGAGGGAAGATTAATGATGGGGAAGTGAGTACCCCAGGAAACCCGATCTTCGCTTAAGCCCGGATAAGGGTTGAAACGCTTGTTAATTCCAGCCTCAAGACCGTCTGAATTTTCCAAAGAGGTTTTCCCAATTTTTCGCGTCACATCGCGAGAATAATCGAATAATCAAATACAATAATTAAATTAATTATAACTGAGTGTGATTACTCACCTTCTTGAGATCTTTACTGGCGTCTGCCTCCTCGGCTTTCCGTTTTTCCGAGATTTTTGGTGACGAGACGGCAATTGCTGGTTCCCTCAGAGGTTTAAGATCCACCTGCAATTACAAATAATTACGTGAGATTTTCACGATTTACGCTCATTTTCTGGTGAATGGAGAATTCAGTGAGATGTCAGATTTTGGGGGAGCAAGGGGTGGTGAAAATGGCATCGGTTGGGAAAAATGCTTTGATGCTGGCCAGGGGTGGAGGGTCGTCCTGACAACGCCCTCACCTGGGGTGTCCTCACCACTTTCAGCTGACTTTCAACCCTCCATCCCTGTCTAGGCACAGACATGTTTCTCGTTAGCGCTGAGTGCGAGGAAAAGAGGAGTTCGAGGGCTTTGGGGGCTTTGATTGAACGCCAGGAGATAAATTCGGCTTTTGAATTCTCTGAGGGTACCTTCAATTACGCTAAGAAGCCCGGCAAATCCATTTAATTATTTTCAAATCCATGGAAAATAATCATGTACGCAAAAATGTGCGATAACAATTTTTATTTTCATTTTGTCCAAAAATTGAGAAGTCCATTTTTGGAAAAAGAATTTTTTACCCAAGAATTTTTTGCCACCGATTTTCATTCCACGAAATCATTTTGAAAATTAAATTGAATTGATGAAGAAAATTAATTTCCGGAATTTTAAGCTGCAACTTTTAATTGAAAATCTCGGATTATCAGTTTGTCCCGTTTATTCCGCAATCGGGGCCATCTTGGCCGATGATTACACGAAATTTCGTCGATTACGATAGGGGCCCCTTCCCATCGACCGGAAAATATCGAGAGTAACGAGATAGAACGAGAAATTCCGTGGCAAACTAAAAAGAAAGAAGAGTCGTTACCGTATCGTTAACCAGAAGACGACAGGGAAACACCGGTGGAGAATTTTTCGATGCGAAGGAACGAAACGAGTGGAGAAGCCGATAGGCGTAACGATATTATCGCAGGGTCAGAGGGCGAAACCCTATATACATGTGTACATATATACGACATACTGGGGCAGTTAAAACGGGTATGTACTGAGAGGCTCGTTTCACTTTTACGAGTAATTTGCGCTCCGCGTCTTCTCGTGTTTTTACTCACTCCATCGTATCCCACCCACTTTTTCTTTCCTTCTTTCATTTTTTTTTTTTTCTTTCACTTTCAGGAATTTTTTTCCAGATTTTTATTCCACCGGATTTTCCGACTTGTTGAGTCACGGTTTTTCATCCTCAACAAAGGAAAACATTTTCGAGGGCCATGGAAATTGGGTCGAGAGCCACTACACGGCTTTTGTCGAGCTTCAAAGTGTAGGGATTCATTATTAATTCATGAATAATTAGAATATCAGTGTTCAATGGATTTTGGGGTGAAAGTCACTCGACTGAGAGGAATCAATTATCATTTTTAGGGACTGGGAACGTCTGCTTTCCCTTTAAATTTATTATCGTGTGAAATTTTTTAATTCTTTGAATTTTTTCACTCCCACCGCCTCGAGGGAAAATTTATTCAATTTCCATTGGATAAGGAAATTCAATAAAAAAAACCTATTTAGGCCGACAATTAGTTCAGATAATTGGGGGGGCGCAATTAGATTTTTATTCTTCGAGGAACGAAATTCTCGAATTTTTTTGTTTCCCAAGGAGTTGTTACCACTCGCGGAGATACTTAGTTTGATTTACACCGGTGATTTATTTTCTAGATAATTAAGAGAGACCGGGAGCAAATTATCCCGGGACATTTAATGTCTTCCCAACATACAAATCAACTGACGAATTGTGGGTTGTGGAGCTATAGAAAATGGCGCTGCGAATAATGTTCGATCGTTTCGAGTGGCACGAAATCATTTTTCCAATTCTTCGGGTGGTCCTTCGGGACAAGGGCCGAAAGGAAAAATAGGGGATGAGGGGGTGAGAGGGTGAGAGGGATATGACCAAGCCTCGAAATTTTCCACTCGATCGATTTCCACTTCTGCCACCTCCCCCCCCCGGCCACCGCATTCCCAAGAGGCGTTTCTTCCCTATCAACGTTCTCCCCTTTTTTTCCCCCTGTTTTTCCGGTTGGAGAAAATCGCGTTGGGATTGCACTTGCAGACTTTACATTTTCCTTTCCAATTTTCACGGTTGAAGAGAATAGTTACCAGTACAACGTGGCCAATTTTTTGATTTTACTTGAAAAATTTTTCGGGCAAAATTTCCGGAAAATTTGAATTTCCGGAAAATTTGAATTTCCGGAAAATTTGAATGTCCGAAAAATTTGAATTTCCTCGATTTCGTTCCGAGTTTTCGAAAAATTAGAAAATGAAAAAGTGGAAGTAAAAAAAATTTTAATGTGAATTTTCAAAATAATTAGCCGACAATGAAAATACCGGGGACATTTTCCCTCGTCACAACCGGATCATTCCCCCCGCAATGAATCTTCAACTCAATTAAACCCGAGGAAAAGTCCGTTTCTAACGTACATTTCCTCGAACATAAACGGCAAATTTAATTCCAGAAGGTTTCCTCGATACTGAGATGAGTGCATCCGGTTAAACGAGTGGAAAATTCCGGTTTTTCTTGCTCCCCCTCTTTTTCAGTGAAGAAAAAAACCCGTGGAAATTTCATTAAAATGAACGGCCCATTGTGGCTGGATTCTCCGATGTCCGGAAGAATGGAAAGGGGATAAATTCAACTAGATAAGAGCTCAGAGAACTGCTCAACAAAAAAAAAAGGACTTTCGAAACGAGCCCAACAAAAAATCTATGGACAACTTCTCGCTATTATTGTCATATCCCTCGTCATTCTACTCCTGTGACTACCAGTTTTTCCCCACCTCCGGGGAATTTTCCGGTGCCTTGGGAAAACGATTCCACGTTAGACATAGACGAGTTAACCGTCGGTGCTTTTTGTTCTCTGACGAGGGGTAGAAAAAAATGTACCGTCTGATTTCATGCTTGCTTGCGCCACTTTCAAGTGACTTTTCTCCTTTTTATTCCTATTTTCCATACTTTTTTTTTTATTTTCAATGTTAGGCATACAAAGGGGCTAAACAGCGGGCAAATGCTCGACGCTACGAGTGTTTTTTTTTTCTCCCCCCTCCCCTTTTTTTAATTCTCGGTTGAGATGAAAAAATACGCTAAATTGAAAAACAAACGTTTCGACGGGGGAGGGGTCGCTGGTTTTTCCGGGTTGGCAATTATTTATTCGGGGTAATTACATTAATTATGAGAGTGGCGGTTTGAGGGGGTGATGGTGGGGTAGTTTTCAGTCGTTTAATTGTTTTTTTTTTTCGGGGGTAGTTGCTGTTTTTTAGCCATTGGGGTGGATAATGGGGTGGAGAGAAGCTATCGGTGGTTTAGTCGCAGTGTATTTGTTTTTACAATATTAAAATATTAATGGGGGATTTTTTTTTTACTGCAATATTGAATGCGATTGCGGGAGAAATAATTACGGATATTTTACCAGAGTTTTCATCATTTTTGAGGCAATTATCAAGCATTGAAATAAAAAAATTGTAAAGGGTAAAAAATGGAATCGGAATATTTTTTTCAAATTTTCAAAAAATTTCTGGATTTTTCAGAAATTTTTTTTTATGAAACAGAAAAAAAATCGGAAAACTAAACAATTTTATTTTTGGGAAAGGTTTTGAAAAATTTTTCAAAAATTTCAATGGGAAAGTTTTTTTTATAATTTCGATAGTGTATTTTTTGAGAATATTGAAAAATTAAAAAAAGTAAAAAAATAACAGTATAATTAAAAAAAAATTATATTCGCAAAAATTTCTAGAAAATTATAAAAAAAAATTCTGCGAAACAAATTTTTGAAAATTTTTTCAAGACATTTCCCAAAAATACGGTTGTTTTGTTTTCCGATTTTTTTTTTGTTTCAGAAAAAAAATTTCTGAAAAATTTGTCGGAAAAATTATTCCGATTACCATTTTTTTTTTACCCGGGTTAGGAGAGCCCCGAAATTTATAATTGAAAATTAATTGCCAACAACCACTTAAATTCTATTATTTACTAGCGAGCTGTCCGCGAAATTCGCAAATTCCGTATTTCCCCCCCGAAATGAAAGAAGAAAAAAACAATAAGAGGCGGGTGAAAAAAAAACTGGGGTAAAACTGCGTCAGCAAATGTGGTTTGCCAGTTCTATCCAAGTTACACCGAACACACAGTGGAAGTAGATTAATTCGGGCTGGCAGCTCTCGTCGAAGTGCACGAGAGAAATTAACTTCCAGGGGAGTGGACTCCTGGGGTGAGTTAGTTAAGGGGGTAGAGATTCCTCGTTTTCCTAATGGATCGGGAGAGAAGATCGCATCTCAAGTGTTCACGTTTGACCAGAATGGGACTAGCCGAAAATTCAGAAAAAATACGTCGAGACAATCGAAGGATAAATCACTGATTACAATTGATTATAATTATCCCTCTCACCCTCTCCCTCTAAAAACCAGTACTTCATATTTTTTCTAATTTCAATTATCCAATCAAATACCGAATAACAACGAAATTTTTCTAATACATATCATTTCCACAAATATGTCTGAATCTGACAGAAATATCGAAATTTTCGTAATCACCTTTTTTGTAGCGGTAATTGCGCTTTACAAAAAAGGTTACAACGAGGATTTCGATATCTGTACTAGATTCGGAGATATTCCTGAGAAACGACTCGACGTGTCGCGTTTTATCAATTCGCTATTCCAGTGTTGTTTGAGAATGAGGAAAAATTCGGAAAATTTAACGGCAAATGGAAAATTAATGGGATTTTGATGCAGAAAAAATGTCTAACAGTGCGAATGGCACGTGGTGAATGTATCAGGGACGATTCACTCATGTCTACCGGAAGCAACCGGTGAAACGCGAATCCGTTGACTCGCGTAAACAATCACCGAGAATTTTCCCGTGACGGAAAAAGGGGAAACGTCACTCTTGCGTGAGAACAAACCACTCAGTGACTCGCCCCCTATCCCCTGTAGAATGGAATAAAGCAAATGGAAAAAAAAATGAGAGACTAAAACAATGCACGTGCCAATGAGAATCAAAGAGAAAATAAATCTTTTTACGTTTTGTCAATATATAGTATCTTCAACTAAACTTTTATG